CTGCTATCTAAATACAGAGCATATTTAGAGGTAGCCCTAAGTATACGTCCAGGTCCAACAAGATTCTGATTACTGGACCTCCTAAGCTAATTAAAAAAACGGGCCAACAACGGGGCCGTTTGGTTGAAGGTTCTGGTTTGCTTCGGCCCATCTACTACCCAAGTCTCCTCTGTAATCTACGCGTGTAGAGGCTGGACCCGCGCTGGGCTTGAAGCCTTGGACGGAGACTTGTTGTCTGCAACCATGTGCCAAACTGAAAAAGCTTTTCTGATCCACCGCAGCCACACATGCAATTAAGGGCTTGAAATAGCCATGCTTGTAGTGATTAAGTTCACCAGAATTCTGTCTTTTTAAATAGAATGTGGAAACCTAACATGCACAACTAAATGCTACAAGTGCTTCAGTTTGGCCCAATAAAGGGTAATGCATAAGACAATGAGTCTGTCTTTCCACAGTTTTTTTGAGATTTTATGTGACAGACTGACACAAAACAGTACATAGTTGTGAAATGAAAGGAAAATAAAAAGTTTTCAAAGTAATTTTGTAAATACTAGTTTGAAAGGTATGTTAACACATCCAAGTCAATACTTTGTAAAACCCCCTTCTGGGGTATGTCTGCAATGTCAAAATCCTTTTCTTTTCAGAAACTATGGTAGTTTTCTCTCCTTTGCGTTTCTACTGCAGGAATCAGGACCGAATCAGACAAAAGCAAGTAGTAATCTAACCCCGAACAAAGGCCCTGTTAAGGAGGGAGAACTTCTTGGATCAACCCTGAACTAAATATGGATTTTTGTAGTGGGAGGATACCAAATATTTATCACTGGCTGAAAATCCCCAGCATGTTATTTCAGTCATCTCCTCCTCTGCGTTTCTCCTCTGAAATTCTGCATTTGTATTTTGCATAGTCTACATTTTAACCTGGCTCCCTACACTGAAAACCAGTGTATTATAGAGAAAAGAACCAAAGAAAGAAGTCCCACTTCATTAAATCACCTTCAAACATCTTACACATATCCTAAAATGAGTACCTCTTCTGTTTTATTTCTCCACAGCAGCAGCCTTGCTAGGTACCATATGCAAAACAGATGACCCATTTCAGCTGCAAAATATACACGCCATTCCCTTCACACATTACAGTCACTTTATTCAACAGTATCCCTTTTGCGTGTCAGAGGACAATTACATCCGCGCATCACAATGCCAGTGCAGCGCTGTGGTTGATCCAGCCTCATCTATCAGAGTCTTCTCTAAACCAGTGTGTTTCTGAGCAATAACCACAAACACATATGCTCGACATGCAAAACACATCTCTGCCCCGATTCGTTCAGAAGAGCTCTGAATCACCTCCTCTTCCGAGGCATTATCCAGCTCCCACAAAGCTCTTTTAAATCAGTCAAGTTTTCACCTCCCTTTTGATGTGGCTTTCTAATCAATGCATCCCCTTTGCTTGCTACAGATGTATGACGTTAAATGCATACACTCATAAAACATAAAAACAAACCAAAGCCCTTTGGTTCTTTAAGCAGCCGGGATTTGGGGTAGAATCAAATTTACATTAGCATCCATAAAGCAAGTATGAAAAAGAAGCAATTATTTCCAGTTAACTTAGTATTGGGTAATAAAATCAAAATAAACCAGAAATTCATGTGAATAGCTAGAAACTGGGGTCTTTGAAAAAAACAAAAACAAAAAACAACTTAGTTGTGATCCAGTGAAGTTGCAACAATTAGTTGCAGCTCTCACAAAGCTAAAAAGCATCTTGGTAAAGTTTGGGTCCAGAGGACGACAGCCAGATGCTTAAACACAACACAAGCATAACAGATGACTAAGAATATTCTTGTTTGGATAAACAGCGGAGATTAAACATTTACTGGTTCTTTCTCATTCTACAGTAAACTTTACTGTGTGTCAGAGAGACACACAGCTGCTCTATATATCACACACACTGCAGCTCGAACGTTCCAGGAAACATGGACAACATTTTCTATAAGAGATTGGGAGAGCCTCAAATTACAGCAGATCAAAACATTTTCTCAGGGTTCTCTTGCAAAAAGACACTTTAAATATCTGGGATTTTCCTGATAAAATAAAAGTTAAATAAATAAAAATAAAATCATCATTCACTAGCAATACTAAACAAGATCAGCTCACTTATGGTATAAATTTAAAAGAGGTATTTTCGCCGTCTTCCACAAGATGTTTCCTAGCAACCATGCACGGGTTCATAACCACAACGTGGAAACTTTGTATTTGATTTCAAAGTCAAAGATCTCAAGGTAGATTCAATAATCTCAACTTCTTAAGGAAATGTGTTCATGAAAAACCGAACAGTATATAGACACTTTATTTTTATTGCAATATTGTAGTATGAAATATCAATTACAGAAAGAACAGCTTGGACTGGAAAACCTGCCAGTTGAACAAGAAGCAGGCATTCAGGCTCTTTATGCCAGTAATATATTTGATGATGCTCCTTTAATGCAGAAGAAAATGTTTCAGGAAGCTTTAAGAAGCTCTGGTAAAAACTAAGCAATGGTTAAATACCTGGATACAAATTGTGAATAAAAAAAAAAATCTTTGATTAGATCCTCCTTATTCTTTCTTACAGGCAAATTGGGGAAATGACAAATTGACCTGAAAGCCTTTGATATGCATCGTAATTAACAGAAGCAAAAAAAGGTTATCGAGCTGAGCCGCTTCTTTTTGTTGCAGCCATAGTACGTCATTTTTATGAAGCAACACAATAGTCACTGAACAACTAGAGAGACTGTGAGATCTCCAGAACAATAGAGGTTGTGATTTAAAGAAAAAAAAATTAACCATTAACCAGATAAACCATTTTAAACCATTAACCAGGTAAAAGCATGACCTTCAGCAGCACACAGCAGTCCTCCACTCAGAAAAGGAATATTACAAATTGCTATTTAAGAGTATTTTTTTATTATTATTATTTAGACAGGTTTGTACTTCTTTGTGATAAGGACAAGTGGTGCAAATGTCAGCCCTTCATCTACATGAAAGGGATCTATAAAGATCATAAAAATGTGCAAAGAATGAGGATTTCTCTTTCACATTTCTTAACAATAGATATCAATATTTCACCACGTTCCTCAAGAGCTTTTCTTTGTAGAGAAATTTCAAACACCAAGTCAAAGGAAAATGTTTAATTTAGTCACCAGTTGGACAAAGGAATGATCTTGTTTTATATTCATTGGGTTAGTGCAGGAATAATTCTGTCTGAGCATGCAAACATGCAGTTGCATGTATCTGAAAGTGATGAGCTCCATAAAAGCAGAGGAAGAGCAAATATATGCAGTCAAAGGAGCTAACAAGCTGCCACAGTTGCCTTGAATTAATTAAAGGATTAAGGGGGAAACCAGCCATTCTAAGAATACTAACCTCACCTCGGTCTGTTACATAACTAGTTCATTACACACTAAGGCAGAAGCTTCACAAATAAAAAACAAAAAGCCCCAAATGCTGAACAGCAACTACCAGTAAATCAAGTTCTAATTCCTGATAAAATTTTCCATTGTGTCATGCGAATAGATTGAAGTCCTTTAGAAAAGAAAGCAGTAATCAGAATGTTCTCTGGCTTTATCAAGTGTAAAATAGAGTAAAATTACCAGCCAGAAAGTAAGATGATAATGTAGGAAATTTTACTGCTTTTTCACCACTCCTAATAATAATAATAAAAAAAAAGTTATTGCAGTCATATCAGGACACACTTGCTGCTTGTAGCTTACAAACTAACTTCTTGTAGTAAACTGACCTGCACCACGTGACAACAGGTGAGGGTGGTGCGGCACTGCATTAATCAACTCGATAAAGCTAATAAAAAAAATAAGAACCTTAATTATTTTTGTCATCTCATTACAAGAATCTATAAAAAATATATACAAGACTCAATATTGTGGTTATTATGAAAATATTACTTTTTGAAACTTTGGTATACCTTGATACCAGTATTAAGCATCTGCTTAGTAGAGTCACACTTTGTAAAGACAAATAAGAAGGGGATTTCTTAAGAAATCTTAAAAGAATGTGTATTTTGTAAATCGGCAATTGCAACATAACCCTGGGACAAACACGGGCCTCTGAGTGCTTGACAAACAAAAAGAAAATATAGTTCCCAGAGATAGCTCACACAACTATGTGTCTTCAAAAGGAAAAATGATCAGCCCTATGATGAAGTGTTTCTCCAACTGAACTTTCTGGACTCTCCTCAAACGAGCAAGATTATTACATGTCAATTATAATTTTTTGGATTCTTGTCGGGACAGAGAGGACTTTGAGGTTGTGGGAGTAATGAGAGCATAATCACTCCCTCTTTGCTCCACGGAGAACCCAAATGTGCCTTATGCCACAAAGAAAATTTTTCATCCAACAAACTGCAACAACAAAGGCAAGGGGAAAAAATATCAGAAGTTGGGATTTACAAACGGAGAAAGTTCAAGACTTAAAAGCAACGGCAAACATGGGATAAAGAATATGACAAACACTGAGCTGAAGAAAAGTTTGAGAAAGAGAAGACAGAACAAACATATGGATGTAATTGAGAGTCGATGAAGTGCTGATGTCATCTTCCAGTCAGGTTATCAGGCCCTAGGCAAAGCTGCTCAACTCAGAAAACATGCCTCTCTTCTCCAAACATATGAGAGTTCGGCACAAAGACACAACATGATACAATCCACATGCTTCTACACGAGCGACAGTAGGGGTTGACGCTTAAGGCAGCATTCTTTAGGTGTTTGCCATCTCTAATCTGTAAACAGAAGGCGTTATCCTCTCAAATGCTAACTGTGCTTAAAGATTTTCATTGCATGTGCATACACACAACCCATTCTGTCCTTCCCATTAGTCTCTTTGGCATGACTGTACAATGACCTCATCTGGATTGGGCTGAAGTCCAGAGAAAACACACATGCTCACACACACACACACACCCACACCCACACCCACACGCACACACAGAGCTCTAGAGCTTGTGCAGTCCCATATAAGGACATGCTGATGATGTAATGGGCGCCACAGACTTACTGCGAGTGAGAGTCAGTTTGCAGAGAACTTCTCATAATGTTTGGTTTTCCGGATGGAATGTCCACATCACCGGGAAAACAGCCTTTTCCAGGGATTTTAAAGACGGAAAGAACGACTTCTTTGTGCAGGTATGAAACTAGACGCATTAATGCAACAAAAAACATGCAAACTTTCATTGGACTCAGATGTTCCTTAAAAAACTGCTATATGTGTAAGATAGTTTAAGATGGACTGCTGCTGACAAGTAAATAACTGCAAAGATTTGATAAGGACTCTTTTACAAAGCCACGCTAATCAAAGCGTCTAAAAGAATATGAATTTTCCGGTTGAAGTTAAGCTGTCACTGAGCTATATCTTAACACTTTAGGGGATCTAAATGTTCTGCTTGAGCATTTTTGCAGCCAACTAACATGCCAAATTAAACCTCAGAGAAACTTTAGTGAAGGTTCAGGTATGCAGCTAGCTAATAAAAACATTTGTGCCGTCCTTTCTGACCAGCCCTGCATTTCATTTAGGAGACACATTCTACCCTTGGCTAAAACGTCTCATATTTTCAGAACACATGGCTAACTGAGATTTCTCCAACCTATAAGCAATAGCAGAGTTTTGTATTCTTTTTTTTTTTTTTTTACAAAAACAAAGAAAAAAGTAGAACTAAATACCAGCACTTTGTGGAGCTTTAGAATGCAACACCGGCAGCAAATGGAGAAACACAATGAGTTTTATATATGGGTAAAAGAGCAAAGGAACACTCGGTGTTAGCAATTGTTCTGTGTGCATTTATTTTTTCAAACTTTCTGGTTCTATTCCAAGTTCAATTCTGGTATGCATCCAGGGAAATGTTGAGGACTGACATCTATTGATGAGAAGTAGCCAGTTTGTAATTACTTCAAGAACAACGGGGAATTCCTGCCTCTCCAAGCTGCAAGTTTGGTAACGTTCGAGGTGCACAGAGGGAGGGCAACTGGCTGCAGTGCTGCGGGTACTTGAGAGGAGAACTTCTTAATTAACTAACACTCCCTACTAAGGGACCATCTGCCATGCAAGTCAAAAGATCCTACAGATTACATGCTCACTAGAGAGAAATACCCCAAAATAAAGAGACATGTTGAGGTAACAACATGTTGCATGTATTATAGAAAAAAACATCATGGATGTTGTTGAGCATTTGTACAGTTTTTATACAACAAATTGTCACAGAATGATGGAATACATCAGGCCAAAAAGGTAGCTATGACCAAACTAGTAAAGGCTAAGAGTTATGTGATGAAAACATGAACAAATTAGCCTCACATAGGTATTAGATTTTCTCCGTTATGATAGCGAATATGCCACAGCTGGCACAAAGCACTGTAAAGCAAATGGATAATAACATCTAGCTGCTGACAAAACAATTACTATTAAGATTTAATCGATATTTCTGAATTTTATTCACCGACTTAAGCAAAATGAAAAATAAACTTCTAAATTCTGTAGTAGTTTTAAAGACTTATTCCACAGAATAGAGCTTCTTTCATAACAAAGTTAATACCAGCTGGTAGTTGGGCTGTCTGTGTTAGTAGCCACCCTCCAGTCAGGTGTTGGTCATCTGTAACTGTACAACAGTGTTACTTCAATAAGAATAACGGATAGTTTTCATTTAGTTTCCACACCGTGTCTTTTTGATGTTTTCCACATTTGGACATATTTCCAAACAGATACATTTGTCTTTCTTGTAGCTTACACAACAGAAAAGAGTAGTAGTCTGTTGTCAGGCAGCTGACTAGCAATGCCCAGCAACAGCGAGGAGAGCAAAAGTGCTGGAATGCCGTTTTAAAACTGTAGTTGGAAAGATCAACATGTCTGTTTTATCCACCACACATGTTCCAGTGATGAACTGTATTAGCTCTTTGTGGCCCACCAAAGCGAGCTCTGGCCCTTAAGAAACTGGAGCCCAGACATAAAACCTGCTTTTGTCAGGGACTTTACGGACAACAGTCAATCAAAACTGTGTGAGTACCATGTTTAAAAATTCAGTTTCTGGTTTACTTTTCAATCTAATAAAAAAAAAAAAAACGGAACTAAAAAGTAAAAACACCACTTCAGCCATAATTGTGTTAGATTTGCATTAGAATGACAAAAGCTGTCTCTAAACTGTCTCTGTGCTCACAGCTGATTATTTCATAATATTTTAATATAACCAAGTAGCATTAATAAATATTGTTCTAAAAACTGTTTAACTCCCATTTTCCAGCTGCTGTAATAAATATTAATATAGTTCAACTGCCGTCATGCACCACAACCTTTCACAACACTACAAAAAGCAAGATATTTATACTGTCTTTTATGTTCAATTCTATGTATTGGATTAAATGTAATGCATAAATGCCACAGATCACATCATTATAACTCAATAGGTAATTTTTAAGCTTCAATTTTTGAAAAGAAAGCAGTTAGATCATGCTTTGCATTTTTGTTAAAAGTATTTGTAGTGATACCATGATACAGTGGGATTTTCACCGAAGGTTTTTACAGGAAGGTCATTTCATATTGCTATATTTCTCACCTTGATACTGATAACTGCTCTAAAGCCTGTCTGAAATGTATATTTTTACCTCTACAGACTCAAGCTCTCATTGAAAAGACAAAAGATACTGCAAAATTGAGAGAAAAATGAACAAGCAATCTCAACTGTAAAAGAGGAGTTAACCAAGCTGAAGGATTTTACCACAACATTTAATTGAGGTGGAAGAACAGAAGCGTACAATCAAGGATTTGACTGTCCCCATCATTCATACTGAGAAGGGGCTCCATCCACTGATCCACCCAGTGTAAAGGAACAGCTCACATTTCTGCAACTGCAGAGCTGCTTAACCAAGTTTCCATGACGGCCCCGAGCCTGTTAACAGAGGTGGAGGTGCTGAGGAAGAGGGTGGTGGAAATGGAAGGGAAGGACGAGGAGCTGATACGGATGGCAGACCAGTGTCGAGACCTTGACCGCAGACTAACAAACGAGGCCAGGCACTGTCGTGGCTTAAAGTTTGAGGTGGATAAGCTCAACGGCAGAATCTGTGAAATGGAGAGGATGGAGGAAGCTTTGGGCAAAAGCAAACAGGACTGTAGTATTCTGAAGAGCAACTTGGAGAAAGAGAGAGAGTACAGCAAGATGATGTCTGGAGAGCTTGATGCACTGAGAATTAGGGTGAGAGAGCTGGAGGCTGTTGAGGGTCGGCTAGAAACAAGTGAAATGATTGTTAGACAAGACCTGGGCAAGCTCCGAGCGCTGACTGCGGCTCTGGTGGAGGACAGAAAGAGTATGGCAGAGAAGCTCCGACAGGCAGAGGAAAAAGTGAGTAAGAAAGAGAGCAAGAAAAATGAGCAAGGTAATTTGGCAATGATGACAGAGAGGCTGAGAGAGGAAAGGCAGCTGGCACTAAGATCTAAGGCAGATTTAGAAGAGAAGATTAAGGACATTATGAAGGAAAAGGATGAGCTCAGAGACAGACTGAAAACAGAGGAGGAGAGGAACAGGGAGCTACAGAGTAAAATAACCACAATGAAGAAAAAGTTAAACCTCTTTGAGAACAGGAAGGAAAAAGCAGAGAAGTACACAAGCAACACCAGCCATTTGTGCCAATCCGAGGACAACAAAGTTAAAGAGCTGACTAAAGAGCTTGATGAGCTGCAGAAGAGACTCCAAAACAAGGAGGTATTGGAGGCAGAACTGCTGAAAGTGGAAGAAGACTTAGAGGCCCTAGAAAGGAGGTTGAATGATGAAAGGAGACGGTCGCAAGCTTTAACAGAAGAGCTAGAGGAGGCAAAGAAGGAGCTTTCCAGCTACAAGCATGGAGAAAAAGAAGAGGTCAACAAGGAACACCTTCTTCTTTGCCATCTTCAAAAAGAGCAAGTCAAATCCAGACTCCTAACCAGAGAAATAGACGCCCTGAAGGAGAAACTCCAGCAGCTGATGGGGACGGAGGAGTCAATCTGCAAGGTTCAAATGGATCAGTCAACACTGCAGAAAAAACTGAGCCAGCAGGAAGCCAAGAACAAAGAGCTGGCCCAGCAGATGGAGAAATTGACCAGTGAGCTCAACGGTTATAGACAAATCAAGAACTGGACGCCTGGAACCAATAACCATTTCTCAGATCTTCATCAGACCACCAAAGAAGTGCAAACTGATTCTGGGGAAAGCCTTATTTCAACTCGCAACATGCACATCGAGAGATTAAGTGAGGTAAACACCGACAAGCATCTAAACCCAAATACTGAAGTAACAAATAGAGAAAGCACTCTTGTCAGCAGCATCGACAACTTCAACACTGCAAATAACAGCATGAGCAGCCATCCAGAAGTGGATATGCAGCAAACAGTTAACGGAGAGGTAATGATGCTGACACACACACCAGGGCAGCCCTTACAAATTAAAGTTACACCACATCACATGATCAGCACAGCCACGCTTGAGATTACCAGCCCTTCTGGAGACACCAGCACTGCCACCATCCCAACGAGCGGGGCCTCTCCAAAGCAGAGAATTACCATCATTCAGAGCTCAAGTTCACCTGTGGCTAATCCTAAGAATCCATCTTCAAGTCCTGACCGAACCCTTTCCCCGGTCAATGGAACACCCATCTCTCGAGTGCTCAGTCCAAAATCATCCCGCTCTGCAACACCTGACAACAACTCACCCATTCAGATTGTCACGGTCAGGACATGTTCTCCTGAGCCAACAGAAACTGCAAACCCAGCCGTATTCTGCAAAACTCCTGAGCGATCCAACAGCTGGCAGCGTCAAATGTCCAACAGCAGCGATACAAGTCCCAGTATCATTACAACGGAGGATAGCAAGATCCACATCCATCTGGGGAGCCCATACATCCACCCTCTAAATGGTATGGGCCAAAGCATCCCGCCACCTGTTGGGCCGTACTACCTTCGGCATGAGCAAAGGACTCAAGTAGTTGCCAATGGATGTCACGTGAAAGGTGTTGGCAAGATCACAAGCAGCATCACCATCTCCCCTGCTAATGCTCATGCCTCACACTCAAACATCACCGTTAGTGGTCTTTATGATTAGGAGCAAAGATGTAATTTAATACCTAAATGAGTATTTGTTTATTCTCATATAACCATTATAGCCTCCCAGCGGTGCCTTTGTTAAACCCATTTACTGCTTCTTATAACCTTTAAAAATATCTTAATTGCTACTTGTACAACTGTCACTAACTAAATATGTAATGCATTTATTGCAATGTTTGCTTCATTAACCATTATTTTCTGGCAAATTAAACTTTTTTTTTTTCCATAGCATTCACTTTGTGAGTATTTTTAGAGATAGTGGGATGCTCTTTAGTTTAATACAGAACAGTTACTGGGATCAAGGGTACCAGGACTTTGAAAGGTTTCAGTTTTTGAAACAATTTTTAATTGTAATGTTCCAAAAGTAAAAAAAAAGCATTTAATTAAACATAAGGGAGCCCCAAAGTGACCACAATTTTCTCCAGTTTTTTAAAGAACAGAGTAAGCCCCTCCCTCACTTGTTGCTATGCAATGCTGATCAACTGGCTGAAAGAAGCAAAACTGTTTCTTTTTACAACACTTTTCCATTAACAGTACAAAAGGCTACCATATTGTGAGAATCTTATGTCTAATAAAGACAAAAATAAATTGAGAATACCATCTAGGAATTTATTTATTAATAAGACTTTTCTAGCAAGATAATTTTTCAGGAATAATGTTCAAAGTAGGAAAATTTTTGTTTTTGTATAAAAACACAACACATCTATGTGAATTTGCCATCTTGATAGCAACTAAAATTTAAGTTCCAAAACTGTGATGTTAAAAATAGAGAAAACATCAAAACAATTCAATAACATTTACTTTAATACAGAGTAGAAAATCATTTCTTCTATCAAAACATGAATACACAATGCTGAAATGGGCCCGAAATAGAGGATCTGATCTCAGCCTTCAGCTTGAAATAAGTTAAAAAAAAAAAAAAAAAAAAAAAAAAAAAATAATGAGTTCAAGCTAGATCTGTCAGTCTGGTATCTGTATTAATGTAATTTGATTCTTTCTACAACATTAAATCAGAAATAAAGCAACAAGTGGAAAATAACTGCATAGTCACATAAAAGGGTGTTAGTAAGTGGGTGATCAAAGTCCTGATTCATCAAAGGTGTACTAAAAACATTTATTTGATCTAGTTGCAAGGTAATGACTTTTGTAAAGGAATCCAGCAGCATTTCCGGAAATGATGGTAACAGATTTAGAAGAAGTTAACTAGCCTGGTGTGTTTAGTTGGCGAGGATGAATGAGGTATCTGGCTGTTCAGGGTATTGCCTGAAACTCTTTTGAAAATCTCTGTTATTATTAGTGTGAACATTTACCCACATGAAACAACATCATCAGTCACATGGGGTATTGCAAATCTTTGCTTCATTCATGAAACTTCAAGGTCAATTATATGCCTTTACGAACAGACTTCAGATCTCATTTTCTGCCTTGTCGGTCTGCTGTCACACTTACAGCATTTTGTTTCAAAGAGCACTGTCATATAAATATGGTTAAGAAAGGATGACAGTAAAGCTAATGGGTCACAGAAAGCATACATCTTTGATATCTTCCCTCATCCGTTTGATATCAAGGGCAGTGATGTATGTTTATACCAGATCCAGTGGGAAAGGCAGCTATTCCTTAGCTGAAATGAAGCTATATTAGTTCATTACATGAAAGTATGCTTTCAAATGAAAAGCTGAACAAAGATATGGCCATAATATTGCTAATGTCAGAAGCTACTATACCTGAATATTTTTGTTTTTAAGGACTGTGACAAATAAAACAGAAAATGTGCTACAAATTATGTCATAGAGGTGGGTAGGTAAGGAGGTAACAGTATTAAATACAACAAAAAATGTTAGAGTAAAGAGGTATTTCTTTGTGTTTTGCAAGCACAACATGCTGATGTCCAAATAAAAGTGCAAATTAAATGCTGAAAGGGAGGAAGTTCTATGCTTTATTTAATTTACTGACATGAAAGACATGGGATTGACGGTACGTTGACCTGTCAATCACTGATCAGAACCGATCAGGAGGAAACTGGTTGGATTTAATTTCTGACAATTGGTTTGTGCATCTTTACAAAGGGAAGAAACGGCAACAGTTTCTACAACATGCAAGTATCTGGAACCCTGCCGATATTATATGGAAATGTTACCATGAAGAAAAAAATTAAAGCTCAACAAAAATCTGACAGTAATATTGTTTACGTAGAAAGCTGCAGATATGTTTACTGGCATAAATCATGGAATTAAGTGAAAATAAAAGCACTGAAATATTTTATCAAATGTCAATCATAAAAAAATGGAAGCATGGCAAATATTTTGCTCTTCTCACTGGCTGTTTATGAGTACATACTGTTGTGTTTATATTGTTAAGAGCTGATAATCTTAAAGACATTACATTTATGATCATACCTTGACTGGAGTAACTTTTTCCTGTACTGCTATTTTTCAGCAAGTGTCTTGTTTTGGTAAGGATCATGTGTGACATTAATGTATCGTATTAAACCATCCTGAATAAAAACTCTTCTTTCATTCGCTTCTCTTCTGGACTCATGTTTCTTTATCTTCCTCACATCACAGCATCACTCAGCTGTCCAACACAATCAGTTCGGTGTGTTGGACAAAAACTACATGGCTGCCATCTATTGGTATGCAGCGAGCTTGTGAGCTATGCAAGAAGTAGCAGCAGGGAATTTCCTTTGTTGATATATGAAGTTTAACATGTGACGAGCAGAACCAGAGCACTAATATCTGTGTGGAAAAAACCCCAACTCATTCAAGAGAGCGGAGGACATGAGAACCAACATTAGGGAAGCTTCCGTAGTTTGTGTTAGCATTATCTGTTTTTCTAAGTCTGTGGGAAGACTTAGAAGAAACACGTGTTTCGCACAACCTCTACTTAAAACCAATTAAACTACCAGCGTTCCTGAATAATTTATCGCTGTAATTAGCAACATAAAGCACACCTGTGCTCAATGTTTTCCACGTGTCATCTAATTACTTTATGTGCTGTTGGTAAAGCTACATTTAGCACTATTAGCTAAGGCTAGCCACTGTAACAGATTTCACGTGACAGCATGAGCCAGCCGGGATATGCCGCCACTGCTTACACATCATACCGTACGAACGAAGCGAAAAGTTGATATTACCGTCATGGTTCCACCAGTCGTCACCTAAATCGTCTCCCATATTCTCGTGCTAGTGATGCTGCCAATCCGAATAGACCGCTAAGAACGCATGTCAGTGAGATGTTCACGGCACCTCGGTCAAAGCTGATGATGTGGCGTTTGAAAAAGAAAATCACATAGTAAAAACGCTGTTTAGTAAATTACGATATAGATTTAATGACATTGATAGTAATACCATTGAAAATGTAAAACAAATCACATTGACATTCGATAGAATAACTCTTAATGAAGCTAGCTTGGGGACAGTAAACGTTACATACGATTTTGCGTAAAACACCTTCTATGTAGTAAACAGTAATTTATGGTAGGCTCAAAAGTCTAACAGGAAAATACAACGAACATGCATTAACTGGTGTAAATCTAAAACAAATAGCAATGTAAAAAGTCGATATGAAGAGCAGACGTTACACACATTTAAGCCTTATATTTTGTTGTCAGTTTGTAAAGAACATAAATAACTTTATGTATTTTTGCTTTTGAGAAACAAATTTTTGATTGATAATAATAATAATAATAATAATAATAATAATAATAATAATAATAAATTGATTAATTCTGAACTTTTTTTAATTTTTGCAAATTTAAAATACAAATCTCACTTTTCTTGGAATTTTATGGAAAAAAAATTAGCGCACAATTAAAACAGAGGTAGAATGGCACTTTAAAACAATGCTCATTCATAGACTGCACGTGACAACAATGAGAATGAGAAAAAAATTAGAAAATAGGTTTACATCACAAGTGATACTGTCATTGCAAAATTTACCAATATTATTCCCATCCCTAATATCTTTTTACTATCATTGGGCCTTAGGGGTAGGTCATAAAGCAATATTATAAGCTTTTAACATTTTATGAAGCACTATTAAATCCATTATTCTGAAAGTAAAATATTATGGCATAAGGGCAAACCTACCGAGAGCTGCCTGTCTATTAATCAGAAAAGCATTTAGACTACTGTTGTAATTCTGCAAGCGCTGCAGAGATCCATGGTTAAGCTAGAAGAATGTCAACTGGACAATTATTAGTTCTGCATTCCACAAATCGTTCCATAATAGAAGAGTTACAGGATTCCTCTGTTCCTCTGTTGTTGAAAGACAACACTTTTGTATGTAACTCTGAACACATCATTCCCACTTTACAACACAATTATAGTAGTAACGCAGGATAATCTCAGAAGAAAAACCTGTTAGAAATTGCAACAGATTTATCAATAGGGGTGGAGGTTTACCTCACAAAGGGACACCAACATTAAACATAAAGGAAGTGCTACAATTGAGTGGTTTAGTGAGGCTCATACAACATCTGGACCAATTCAGATTCTGTTGTAAAACTTGGAAATTGATGTTCACATCCAGTCTTACTTTGAGAAGAAGAAGAATAAACAAAAAGCGGTAGTAATATTGGAGTGTGTACTTCAGTGTGTTGATAGGGTTTCACATGTTTTAGCCAAGAGCCATAGACAGGCAGACAGATAGTCAGGTGGATAGTTATCAGTTAAATCAGATGAGGACATTTAAATTACACAGGTTCTGTTGTCAAGTGGATAATGGTGACAAGGAGGTAGTTTTAGTACATCGCATCATCAACATTTTGAAATACCAACAAAAATAAAAATCCACTGGTCATTGCCAGGATGCAGAAGATGGGTCATCATTATGTGCTTTAGCAGAATAATCATTCAAAGCAAATGGCCAAATTACTATAAAAATGGTTCGCTAAACCAATATTCTCGCTTAACATAACTCCTTGCAAAGAAAATCTGTGGCAGGAGCCATAGAGAGAAAAATACTCTGAGCAATTTGACAAAAGTTTCTCTACATTTGCTCCAAATTTGTGAAAACTTAAAGGAGAGAAGCTCTCCATGTTATTCCTGAGGCCGTTCTGTAGAGAAACACAGCAGTAAATTTGCTCAATGTTAGCAGAATGTTTCTAATTTGAAGCAAATTTTGTTAAGGTTTCGGCTGGAAGCTCCTTTTTCTTCCAACGCAGAAGTATGGGAGAAGAAAGGAGAAGTATTTGTTTGGAAGACTGCCCTCCATTCTGCAGCTGTATAGCTAGGAGGAGGGACAGATCCCTCGGGTGTAATTGCACGTTTTTTTGTTTTTCTGTTGGAATAACGCGTTTCTGGTTGAAAGAGGGCATGAGATGTTTGATTAAAGCTTTATTGTAAAAAAAAAAAAAAAGGGAACAGACTGATTACTGTGGAAATTACAAAGGGCTCAAAATGCTTCTTCGGCTAGTGTTGCCATGAAGATGGGAGGGGAAAAAAAAACAAAGGAAGAGAGAAAGGAAGGATGTATTTTGCACAATGTGCTATGGTCTGCAAACTTTCAGGAAGGACAATGGACTCTAAATGGCAGCTTTGTTTGTAATTAAGAATCATTCCTGTAAAACTCTGGGCTCTGCCTCATTTGTCATTTTCTCTTCCCATTGTTTGGCCATGTATTCTGAGGACAAAAAAAGTGCTGCAATAAGCACAAGGTTTTAACACTCTTCAGAACAACTTTAAATGTGAAACTTTAAAAATATTTCTATCAAATGTGCACAAGAAGATAAAGTCCATATTAAAAGAGCTAACATGCTTAATATTCATAGTTACTTGGCAAATCCTTTCTTCGGTCATCCAGAACAGTGCCTATCCGCTAAACATCATAAAATCTTCCCTCCTTCTGCTCTTGAACCCAATAAACCCATGGTAATTTTTGGATTTAGAAGTTAATAACTGCTGCTGTTGTGCTCCTATGTAAAAACAATGTCTTCATTCCTTAATAAGCGATAAAGATAGTTCCTTGGAAAATAAGTGTTTATCCTTCAAATTGATTTTGAAAAGGTCTGAGACTGCCATAAGATTGGATGAATTCGAGGCTCAAGTGCAGCAAATGTGAGAAAAGTCCCACACGTAATGGTGCCGACAATGTGAATAAATAAACAAAAAGTGACTCCACCTCATTTTCTGTCACTAACTAGTAACATTGTCTTTATCTTATATATTCCAACACTACAGGAATATTTTCACACACTGGCCTCAATTTGCATAATATTATGTGTGCTACTGGTTTAAACTGATATGAGCTGCCATAGTTGCAAATAAACTGTTGAAATTAGGAATTTCCAATTTTCCAATCTGGAGTTTCTATTTTAGTGGCATTTCAATAAAAAAAAATACAGTTTGTAATGTCAAAACTTTGACTCCCAGTAGAAAATCAAACACCTCCTGAGACTTAAGGTTAACTACACTGCTAAAACATGCCGTTGTTGCTTCACAACAGTAAGGTTAAGAAATCTTAACCTAAAAAAAAAAAAAGAGAAGGAAACACTGATGTATTACATCTGTTAAGTCAGGGCGGGAGACACATGGGACAACAAATCTCCAATCCAATCACGGTGAATTACTTGTCTTTCACTCCCAAAATATAACTGAGATGAATCACAAAGCCTTTGCTAGCATTATCTATGTTAACTGAAGTTAGAATTATATTCTAGTGTTCACAAGCACTGCATTTCTTTTTAGATTTGACAAGAATTTGAAAGAAAGGGGGAAAAAAAATTGTGGTTCTCAAACATTTTCAAAGAGGGATTAGTATTCTTTCATCAATATGGAAAGGTTTGTTTTGAGATTAATTTATTATGGGTGTAAAATACATTTGAAGGTTTCTATCTTCATGTTTATTTTATGTTTGGAGACAGCGGCGTTGGAAGCGGGGGTGACGGGGTGGGGGGGAGGACATGTCCCCCCCAATATTGAAGCCAGGTGGATATGTCCCCCGGCCCCGACAAATTGTACCGCAAAATATTGGATTTTGACATTTTTTTTAACTAGCGTGCTTTTATTTTGAAGGCGCAGCATAGCGTTACGTCACTGTACTCCCCCTCCCCTCTCTGAACTGCTGAGTGTTTGAGCCATAGACATAATATAAGCATAGACGCCTCATGGA